AGAGAATGCCAGTGCTGCAGCTTTGGTTTTTAAATGACCTTTGGTGTAGTGGGAGTACCTAGGCTCACTCTAACATCTGGGGGCTTGTGCAGGATGTCCATGGAAACAACAGCTTTGTCCATTTTTGACTGAAGTTGGTGTGGAACAGAACCGCATACAATTCAGAATTCTTTGAATAGTTTTATCAATGGCTTTATATTTTTTAAGAAGCTTCACAGCTCTACTACTGCCCTGTTGGGACTAACACACATGCCAGGAGCTGGCCGGCACACTCAGCAAGGGGCAAACCAGATCTGGGTACAGAGGGTGGTTTCAGCGTTCCCTGCGCTGTGTACTGCACACAGAATTAGCAGATTCCTTTTGCTTGGCTGGTTACAAGTCATCTTCAGGGCCCTTTGAAGCTGTCCAATAAACACAAAATATATCAAGAAAAGCCAGTTCGTATTATCTCCTGTGTTTATTTTAAACCTTTATCTGCCAGTAATTTTCTTAAGCAATTTCAAAAGTAACCAGAAGGAATTATCTTTAGAAACATCAATCTTTTAATTAGCAGATTCCTTTTGCTTGGCTGGTTACAAGTCATCTTCAGGGCCCTTTGAAGCTGTCCAATAAACACAAAATATATCAAGAAAAGCCAGTTCGTATTATCTCCTGTGTTTATTTTAAACCTTTATCTGCCAGTAATTTTCTTAAGCAATTTCAAAAGTAACCAGAAGGAATTATCTTTAGAAACATCAATCTTTTCCTCAGTAAATAAAATAAAACATGCAGGCATGCTCCTTTAATGCCCTTTAAAACCTTTCCTGAGGCACTCCTGCCTGTCACACCGAGCCCTTCCAGCTGGGCTGTGGAGCTTGGGCATCAGCCCCTTGTCTGCCAGGCGGCTCCATTCAGGGTGTGAGGACACTTCAGAACCCGAAACAGCACTGCCGATCGGAATGAGGACTGTGTGTGCAAGAGAATGGTTTTGAATGTCTTCATCATATCCATTTGAATTTTTCTCCCCCTCTGATCTGCTGTGGGTTGTTTACCAATCAGAGAAGTAATTAATTATCCACTAAATCTGGCCACGGGTAGGTGCTTCTGATCCTGTCACTTACAGGAAAGAACTGGAGATTCCCTGAGTTTAAAATCCCCCAAAACCATAGAATCTGAAAGAAGTCAGCAGTTCAGCAGCTGAGCGAGGGCTGAAAGAGCCTGCATGCTGGCTCACAGCAGTAAGAGTCTGTATGAAAACCAAGTACCAGAACTTCTAACAATAATGTCATTGACATGAAAAAAAGAGCACCAAGGAGTGTATATAAACAAATCTTTATTTAAAGCTTTTAAATGGAACACAGAGCTCAGTTTCCTCACAAAAGGAAAAATTGAAACCCAAAAGACAAACGCAACACACAAGAAAATTCTCATTACTGGATCTATGTGCTGGGCAATTGGAGTGGATATTTGTATTTCAATGGTTACTGACTGTGGTTGTTCGTGCACTGGGGAGCTAGAAGGTATGTACCATGACAAGCTCTTGGAAGCGTGTTCATCTAGGAGTGGTGGCAGAATTGCATAGTTACTTAAATTCACTATAAACTACTCTGTTTAGTAGTCATTGCAGCTACGTGTTGTCAGACAACAAAGATTCTGATTTTAGAAAAGCTACTGGTATTTCAGGTGTAATCATCGTGTTGACAGCCATTACTTAGTCTTGAGCTAAAAACTGTCCTTTAAAATCAGGCTGTTAAGTTAAAGCAACATTTATTGAAAAGGGGAGACAACACCTTTCTAAGTGTCACCAATAATTCGTACACGTAGAATATGGCTATAGACACACTAGACAGGCATTCACTTGAAGCTTTCAGTGCATCTGTGCTAAGTGTTTTTAAAAAAGCACAAAACGTAGCTTTTAAATGCAACAAATTTTCATGTTCACTAAGTGCAATCCACTGTTAAAAGATACCTTAAGCCTGGGCTGGACAGTTGTTCTGTTTTGCTTTACATTTCTTGTGCAACCTTTAAACAAGAAGTAACTCAAGATAAGCCTTTGACTCAGGCATGGAGGAGCCAGCAGAGCCCCCTGAGCAGGGCAGGTAATCCCCTGGAGGAAACGCTGACCTGGGGGAGCTGGCACAGGAGAGCACACGTGTGCCACCCTGTGGAACGGGCTTTGTTAAGGAAAGTGAGCCAACACACCCTCCAGGCCTGCACCCACTTGCTGCCACTGGGAATGACCATGACAGCAACACGTGGCAAGTTAACATAATGAATAAATTAACTGCTATAAAATTATAAACTCTGAAGTTATACTCTAACACAACAGCAGCTTTAGATTCAGATGGGGAAGAAAAGTTCTTAATCCCTATATTTGCCCTATTTATTCATTTCAATTTATTCAGTTTCATTATGCTTCTAATAACTTTATAATCTCTCTTTTGTAAGACAATTTTCTGAAACAATTATTCTTGTAGACATTTTCTCTTAAGAATGAAGAATTGTTTTCCCTCATATTAGTCACTGAAGGGAAAAAAACCTCCCTGAAGCCTTGCATGTGGCTTCATACCCATACAGACATTTCAGAGACAGCAACATTTGAACAAATTTACAGCAAACAACTCAAAATTGTACCAGGCTGTTGTAATAGATACACTTTTCATCAGTAGCATTTTGAAGCACTTTCACCCTTTCTGAATCAAGCTGCTACCAGGAGCAGTGCTTGTGCTGGTGGGCTCCTTAGGAACACTAAACCAAGGCTCAAAGCAAAAAGCACTGCCCTTGCAGTCTGAATGGCCAATAGTCACCCACACAGACACTGCTTCAGCTGCTTCTGCCTCAAGCAGCTTGCTTTGCACTTCACCTCCAAGGGTCAGGAGCTGTATTTCAGTACTAATAAGTCAGTACATAGTTAAAAAGTTGTATTTAAACAAGAAGTAGGTTTATTGTACTTTATAAAAAAGAATGTGAGTTCTTGCAGCATTTGTACATACCTACTGTCCACCTGATGTGCAAGGAAGAGACTAAGACAACTGCTGAAAGCTGTGTAGTCATACCATGTCATACCTGGCCTTCCTGCAACCTTCCTGGTCACATGTCTGAAAGCAAAAGCTATTACCACCCGTTGCAAATTAAACCTCAAATTAAATTGAAACCTCTCAACACCTTCCTGCATCTCCCAGACCATCACCCCTGACATCACCAGCACCTGGAAGCAGTCAGTCAGCTTCTTGGCTCACTTGGGGATGCAAAAGCATTCTAAAGGAAAACAAACACCACCACACCTTCACTTTGCTAATGCTGCACCAGCCTCCATCTCTAGTTAACAAATGTTGTTCAGGTTCAAAGCAGAAGTTGTGTAAGGGAAGGAAAAAGGAAACGAAGCCACAAATCTTCCTGTGCCCCTTTAAATCTGAATATAATACAAATATTTTTCTGTATTTTAATGCTACGTTTCTTAAATATCTTTCTCGTGGCTGTGATTTACTAAGTAAGCATATTTAACTACACACATACCAGCAGACTAATTCAATAAATTAGAGCTCAAAGCACTAACTGTGAGCATAAGAATATTTACAAACTGCAATAAATTAAAGATTAAAATATGTGTGATATTAAATAAGACTCTCAAATACCTCACCAAGTAAGAACAACTGTCAAGTCTTGTACCAAAATTCTCCCGACTTCTGTGCCACTGCCCAAGGCCAGAAATGTGTTTGTGGGCCAGAAGGAAGAGGGTGGTCACTTCAACACTCAGCACCCCCTGCTGGGTAAGGCAAGCACCCAAAACAAGCCAGCTCCGAAGTTGTACTACAAGTCATTAAGAACGTTATTATGCCAGAAAACACAGCTCGGAAAAAAATTAATCCATGTGGACACTGTGATTCGCAGGAAATCAAAATTCTGCATTTCCTCAGGATTGCATGGAGTAGAAGGTACTTCTCCACCACAGAAGACACACTAGGGAAGTAAAATTTTAAATTGTAAAAGGGAAAACTAATGATGCTGTATTCCCTCAGTTTACCTTCTCCAAAACAGAAGTGCTACTGGGTAATGGCTTTTGAAGAATCAGCCCCAAGCTGAGTGGCTGTGAACAGCAAGGACCATCGCTCTGGCTGTATGTGCCTTTCGAACAGCTGAAATATTTTTTTTCAAAATGTGAAGTTCAATTAAGGGGATGGATTGGAAGAGAATGCCAAGAATGGAAAGGTACAATTCATCCCAGCAGGAACTAGGTAAGAACAGCTGCTCCCCAGTCCTGCAGTTACACAGCCACAGCAGAGCAGGCAGCACGCTGAAAAAGCCTAAGATGGGAGACAAGGCAATGGATAAAGTCTTCATAGACAGATGAAGCTTTCTAAGTACAATCCCTGTGTTACTGGTGCTTCTGCAGATACACATCTGCAGCTCTCCCTCAGCTGCAGATTCCAGACCATGACATGACTGCTGTTTGGGTCTCACCTGCAGGGGCAATGAAGAGCCTCTGCAAGCCTCACTGCACCTAAGTTCATCAAATCAGAAAAATCAATAGAAGTAGTGCAAATTAAGGCAGGGAGCCCTATGTGAGCATCCCTACTTGAAAACAATATCTGCCCAAAGGCCTTCTGTCTCAGGCTGAAGGATTATTGAACCCTGTAAAACCCAGGAAAGGTTTCTGCTGACCAAAAAACTTCCAAGAACTTCCAGCTACCTCCTGCTGCTTTACAAATTGCAAGGGGAAAGAAAACTGCAAGTAAGAATTTGAAGAAATGTATACAACTGGGTTTATACTTTGTTTAGTTAAAATGAGTTATGGAAAATTTCAGAGATATGAGTATCTTTTAGTGGTGGTGTTAAAAAAATCTCCAATGTATGAACAAAACATGAGTGACCCCAGGAACTCAGCCTTTACCTACAAAGGTATTTCTCTGCAGGCAAGTCACAACCAAGGATTCACCAAGTCTCTCCTGTCCTTTTCCTAGTTAACTCCAGGCATTTGCAGCCTTGGAAGTAATGGCAGCAGTAAAAGTC